TCTCAATTGCCAATTGCTATAGTACCTTATTTTTGACAGCGTTGTTAAAAGCAAACCATTTGCAAACCATTTGCGGATTAGAATATGGAGGTCGGCATTTAGTCCACTCTGGGAAACTGTGGCACACGCCAATTTGGTAGCGGCAATGTCCTGCAAACGGTGACTATCTTTCGACGGAGTTGGTACAAGCAAACCATGTACGGTTCAAACATGGTCGAAGTCAAACATGGGTTAAGAACACACTGGGACACGTGTGGTGATGTCTCACAAGCGGTTCATTACATTTGATGGCGTTGGTACAAGCAAACCATTTCAGGATTCGAACATGGTCGAAGTTGGAAATTGGTTTAAACATCATGGGACACCCAGGCACATGTCAATTTAGTGGTGGTGATGTCTCACGAGGTTCCTTACATTTGACGGCGTTGGTACAGGTAAACCCTTTGAGGATTCGAATATGAATGAGGTCGGAAACAAGTTTAGCACTTTTTCTCAGCAATGCGACAGGAACCCGGGGCCCGGACGAACGCAGAACGCTTATCCGTTTGACTGGAGCCCAATTGACAAAGAAGTTACAGCCTGTTAAAGAGTCACCAAGCCGAAAGGCTGAAGAGCCCCAGTGTTATCGTTTGATTTAATATTATTATTATTCCGCCGATTTTTGTACCAGAGCTAGCAAATTAACCACTGGCTCGATTTTGTTCAAATTTTGTATGTGTATGAAGACCGTTGGGTACTAGTGCCCGCCAAAAACCCAAGGCCCAAAGGCCAAGGGAAGATAACTAAAAAACAAGACTTTTTAAAAGATGTGGTTTCGCCCTATTGCTCCGCAACCGCTTATCCGATTACTTTGAAAACTTGCATGTATCTGCTGCTTGAGCTGCTTGATATTTTTTTCTTCTTTGACTTTGGTCATTGGTCACATGGTTTGGCAGCCATATTGGATTTAAGGTTTTCACAGCGTCTTTTGGGTACCTATCTTCAAACGCAAACAACTCCGAGTCCACTGCATGAAATGCTTCCAAACTTTCTGAGAATTGTCTCCACACACAACACAACAAACTCAACAAGCTCAACAAGCCGTTTTTGGATATCTGTTTTAGTTGCGGTTGTATTGGATTTTGATCTTGATAAAAAAAATTACCAAAATTTTACTTTAACGATCCTATCTTGTTAGCTTGTTGACAGAAACTATTGCACCCTGGAACACGCCAATGTCCTGCCAACGGTGACTATCTTTTGACAGAGTTGGTACAAACAAACCCTTTGAGGATTCGAACATGTTTGATGTCGTACATGGGTTTAGAACAGACTTAGCACATGCCAATTTCGTAGCGGCGATACCCTGCAAGTTGTGCCTACATGTGACGGATTTGGTACAAGGAAACCCTTTAAGGATTCAAACATTGACGTTTGTGCACAGTGTAACTTGGAGCCCGCCATTGCTGCTTTGCAGTTATATTTATTATTATTATTATTATTATTATTATTATTATTAGGAGAAAGAAGGCCCAATTTGCCTACTGACTTTCTGTTGCCCCCCTATATTTTCCTAGGTTATATGATGGCCATTTTATGCAGCAGTATATCAATATTTTGAATGTTGATGTTTCTATTTTACTTACCCCTTCTGCACAAGTAGTCACAAAAACGTGCAGAGGCACCCAAATATTAAAGAAACCTGCCATTTAAAAATAGATGATAGTTATGGATTTGTATGTTTCAGGCAGCCTCACACTGACCCATTTGAAGCATTACACAGCAGCCTGGAGGAGGAGTCCTCCATTATCAGTTTGTGATGACGCTTTCATGAGTCCTTTTTACCTTATATGATGTGAGGACATGAGACTGGCGAAGGAAACTTGAGCGACCTCCAATTCACCAACAGCCATCAGCACAGTATTTTATATATTGTGAAACATTGCACACATGTTTTTGACACAATCTGACATGATGATGTTCATGCATGTCATTGTTATTTGGCTTCACTGCTGGCTAAGTGGTGTTATTGCTATTCATCTACCTGGAGGAAGCAACTAAATCACAAAAGAATCTCAAAATACCTGCATGACATGTTCATTTATGACAGTCTGCATCATTTATGTTAACATATTGTCATCTCCAATCACTTTGAATAGGCATGAAATCTGTTTACACACATTCATGCTGTGTATATGCTGTTTCAAATGTTCCATTCTATTCTGTCAGTGAACTGAGCTGATGTTTTAAAAGTATCACAGCTGTAGCTGCTGAGAGAAAAAAAAGGTAGCTATGGTTTATTTCAAGGTGATATGTATTTTCAAAGCATGTGCATATAAACATGAAATATGATATGTATTACTGTTAAGATGTTTATGTTGTGAAATACCTATGATTTCTCATCTTAGGTCATGCTTTCGGTGATCTTTTCTTCATATGAGATCCAAGATGTTTTACAGCATGAAATATGGTTTGTACATTGTAATAGTCACAGTGAACTCTAGTTACTCTTATGTTGATTTGACCATTAAAAAAGGGACTATCCTGCCAAACATACTTTTGTTGTTGCATTGTGCAGAGCTGTGACTTGTAGCAAGCAGAAGTTGTAGGAATCGAAACCTTGTTCATGTTATATTGACCAGTACTAAATATTTATCAGTGCAAGGCAAGGCTACATTTTTTGAGTTGCCTTATATGGATATCTCCAGCCTAGAAAGATGAAAATTTATAAATGCCTGTAAAGCACCCGTTTTTGTACACAATAGGTTAAGTTGCCAAGACAATAGTTTTCAAAGTGTTAAACAAGACAAACTAACAACCATTGTACATGTGTAAACATATTTAGATAACTCTTTGAATAACCAAAACAATTATATATTTTTCCATCAACCAACATGATGAACAAGGATTTTTCAAAAGATCAGTAAACGAAGAAACAAATATAAATTGCGGTAATTTTGTTTTGGTATTTTAACACTTGTGTATAAATTATGTTCCGTATTTCATTCTCTGTGTCGACTGCCACCGTGGTGTTATGGTAGAACGTCATCCCGGAGAGCAGATGGACTGGGACCCGATCCCCAGCCACTTCATACTTAAAAACGTTGGAAGATGGTACTTGTTGTTACACTGTCTGGTGCTCGGCAATAAGGGGCTAAAACAAGGACTGGTTCGCTTTTAGTCAGCATACTGGAAGCCACCTCAAATTTTCTCAATTTTAAAAGATGTTGGAGACTTATTTCTGACATGATTGGATAGCATATACGCCTTTGTTTATAGTGGACGAGGATGTTCGTCACTCACTCATAGATTTGTCTCTTGTGACTTCAAACTAAAAGCCTTTCCACAGGATTCAAGTACAGCCATCAAAGCTGTGGTAGTGTCGATAGTTGGTTAGCTTTGGTCTGGAAACATTGCTGCATTACTGATACATGCCTCGAGATCTCTAGCAGCTATTATGAGGCAGGCTTGTCAAGACAAATAATCTTGGAAGTCTTCCCTCCTAATAATGCACATGCAATAGACTTGGTTGACTCATGCCATTTTCAATGGCAAGATTCCTGAACTACACCAGCAGATGCTAACTGACTGAAGCTCCATCTGTTCGGTAATAGAAGCTGATTGAAGTAATTGTGGCCAAGTGTCTTGCCCCAGATTTTTTCTTAGATTCTTAAAAGAATTTGTAGAAGCAAACAATCCATAGTCTCAAGATATTCAGTCAGCATTCTTACAAAACCGTCCCATCTGTTTACACTGACACAGCTGCATCTGGTACCCGTGAAGATCCGGGGTAGAATAGGTCTCCAGCAACCCATGCTTGCTGAAAAAGGCAACTATGCTTGTTGTAAGAGGCGACTAACAGGATCTGGTGGTCAGGCTCGCTGACATGGTTGATGCATGTCATCGTATCCCAATTGTGTGGATCGATGATCATGGTGTCAGTCACTGTATTGTCTGGTCCAGACTTGATTATTTACAGACCGCCGTCATATAGCTGAATGAGTAACAACAAACAAACAAACAGCTGCATCTGAACATTGAACCAGAAGACGACTTAGCATCACTGAACCCCAGGATGCGTACCAACATGTCCTTATCCATTCAGACTCATTTCTTCCCACCACCTGATCGTTATTAACAGCTTTTCTTTCGGTGGTCATTACTAACATGTCATTTAGCTTAAATACTTTTAGTGTATCTATGGACATTATACAACATGACTTTATTTTCGTTACTACCTTGCTTCCATGGCGACGGAAAAGCAGTCTCTGTGGAGCTGATTGATTGATATTTAGATATTTTGGTCAAATTAGTATTTAGGTACAATTTACTTAGCAACTCAATTGAATAGGTTTTCTTACCATGGAAATATTACCAAGGCATATGATTTGTTGGAAGTTTTGGTGTTGTACGATTTCATTAAGATGTACACAAAGACAAAAATTAAGTACACCCCTATTTCTGAACCAAATGGCAAAAATGATGGCCTGGGATGACTGACCACAGGAGCTGGGCGATACCAATGTCATCGGATAGAACAAACATTTAACAACAAATAAAGAAGATATTGGTGAGTTGTGATTGAAATTTACTGACAAAAACATCATGGTAACACAGGTACTGTTTTTGACCTTAGACAATATAGGCCGTGGGCTAGGTATGACCCACGAGCACCCCCCACACATCCAAACCCCGCTTAATTTTTTTAAAGCCCATAAACATACTAAACATGATTTTGAATGTTAACAAGAAAAAAGTTGGGACGAACTTGTTGTTACAGCCTTTCAAAGTATGGTACCTTATATCGCTTTTTCACCCGGTTTTGCCATATATCACTTGAGGGTATGATTACGTTTTGGGTTGTCATCTCACTAGTGATCCACTGATCGTCAAGTGTGATATACCACTGGAATCCATATAATATAAATACATCTCCAATGAGGTATCAATAATTGGTATTGAGTGAATATGGACCAACCCATGGCAAATCGAACGTCATACATCCCGACGAAACTAAATTCTTCTCGCAGAAACCTTTAATCCGGTATATGTTCTAGGTACGTGTGCCTGATTCCACTATAATCTTCTAACACATGTTCCAGTACAGCTACAGTTCGCCACGACTAGTGATATTTTGCTTCACAGGTAAATAGATCCTTCCCTCTGATCCGCGGCAGGAGAGGCTCATCGTTTTGACGTTGAGCTACTTCAATGACATGCTGCCATCCATCCCGACTGAAGTTTGTGAGCCCTTCTGTTGTCCAGCTTCCTTTTGACTTGAATTTCTTTTATGAATACAAAGTACAAAAGATGCAGTCAGGTTGGAAGATGATGGGCTCATAGGATGGACGCTGAATTGGGCGGCAAGCTAGTTCCTAAGATTCAATTTCAGGTTGTTACAAACTGTCAAGGTTCATTGTAAAACGCAGATAATATTCTCTGTGATAGCCATGGGTTTCTTCCAAAACTGCCGGCAAGCTTGTACATGACACTTCCATTTGATTTGGCGTTTCTGGAGGTTCTGCCATCCTTCTGCGCTTTTTGATCGCTCCTTCAGCTTTTCCATCTTCTCATCAGGATCTTTGGCTTTGCTCAGATGTTGTAGTGGGCCATACTTCAAGCCAGGCACATGTATGATGCACACTGGCTCTGTATCACTGGGGATACGTTTCCGTTTTGGTTGAGATGTCAAAGCTGTCTTCGAGTTGTTCCCGGTTGTATAAGATGTTGGTCTCAGTCACAACAGTTCAACCTCAAAAGACACATAATCATGGTGATGACATTGTTACAAGGTGGGACATTTCCCTATATATTAACTTGGGTATTCTGTAAGAGAATCTTAAGTATGTAATTGGAATATAATTTATTTCTGTGAATGCATGGTTCCTGTTCATTTCAAGCCATTCATATACGATTTGGACGATTCGTATTTGGACAATTTCTGTAAACTGGAAACTTAAGTAGCTAAGTGATGTATGAATTAAATGTTAGTAAGTGAATTCATCTTTTACCTTCGGTGGTGCCCCCAGCAAATTCACCTTAACTAGTAGCTGTACTAAAACATCTGAAACGGCAAAATTTGTCAAAATATCAAGCCTGCGTCCAAGAAATTGATTTGTATATTTGCTGAAATAAATAACATTTACATTATGATCAGTTTTTTTGCACAGCTTTATGGTTGCCATCTTGAATATGTTACACATAGGTCCATTTCATTCAAAATTCTGAAATCGACTCGAGCATTATGCTGTGAACCTCTTATATACATACAAAAGTGAGTGATATCAGATTTGTCAAGAAGTATTCTATACGACTGTCCAAAAGTAGATCAATAATCAGCCTACATCAAATTATGGTGTTATATATGGTTTCCCATAGCATATAACACATCAAGGTCGGTGAATAACACACAAGATGACAAGCCAAATCATGAGCATACATCCAAGCGTTGTTCCGATGTAGCTAAGCCGAGAATGCAATATTAGGTATCCTACTCTGACATTATAAGAGTAAATTTGTTCCAAATTGTGCAAAAGATTTTCACCTGGTAACATCACATGTTAAGTAAGTACTTTAAGAGATGTACTGGAACATGTGTTAGAAGATTATAGTGGAATCAGGCACACGTACCTAGAACATATACCGGATTAAAGGTTTCTGCGAGAAGAATTTAGTTTCGTCGGGATGTATGACGTTCGATTTGCCATGGGTTGGTCCATATTCACTCAATACCAATTATTGGTACTCATTGGAGAGGTATTTATATATGGATTCCAGTGGTATATCACACTTGACGAACAGTGGATCACTAGTGAGATGACAACCCAAAACGTAATCATACCCTCAAGTGATATACGGCAAAACCGGGCGAAATAGCGATATAAGGTACCATACTTTGAAAGGCTGTAACAACAAGTTCGTCCCAACTTTTTTCTTGTTAACATTCAAAATCATGTTTAGTATGTTTATGGGCTTTAAAAAAATTAAGCGGGGTTTGGATGTGTGGGGGGTGCTCGTGGGTCATACCTAGCCCACGGCCTAATACCTAAAGAAAGTATGGAGCTGCAAGATTAAGTAAACGAGTTACGTTTGATATTTCGTGTGAAATTGTTCTTAAAAGTCTCCACTTGACATGCCACGTGAAACAGAACAGTAGCGGGTATAACCGCCTCGTGCCCAGATGTCTACGTCTCGTGCCTCCAGTCAGATGTTGGATCTGTTGATGGGCCAACAACAACCACTCCTGTTTCAATGCTGCCTCCAATTTGCATGAATCTTGTACAGGAGGATCTCGTGTCTGTATGCGCCGCCCCAGAATATCCCCGAACATGTTCAAGTGGGTTCAAATCTGGGCTCATTGCTGGCCAGGGTAGTGTCGTTATTGCATCGGCCCTCATGTAATCCATGACTGCATGCGAACGTTGAGGCCTGGCACTGTCATCCATGTACTGAGGTCGAGAAGCAAGAGGGTGGTTGTCAAAATTAGGAACGACGACTGGCCTTAAAACGTCCCTGAAGTACTGAGCCCCTGTAAAGTTGCCGTTTATGGTGACCAAATCCAACCTGCATTCATGAGAGATACACCCCCAAACCATTACCAAGTCTCCGCCGTATGTAACAGTCAGTTTAATGTTCCTGGTGGTGTCCGATGTGTTTCGGTGCCTCCAAACTCTCGTTCTTCCATCAGTGACTTGGCGCAGAGAGCAACTTCCGTCTGACCAATTGATCCACAGCAAAAAAAGTGTAGGTTTCCGTCTTCCGGAAACCTTCCGGATACCTACCCATTTTGGATCCGGCCCGGATACCTTCCGGAAACCTTCAAAAAAAATGTCAAAATTTGGGGGGTGCATTTTGTTCACTTAAGTGTGAAACACATAAAAAAATTAACTTGAAAATACCAAGCAATTTGAAGGTTGCTGAAGGCATCTGGAAGGTTTCTGGAAGGTTTCTGGAAGGTATCCGGATGCAAATTTTCTTCATGACTTGTTTCTGGTAAAAAATGTTAGCCTGTGCATTACAGGTAGCTGTTGTAATATTCTGGGTTACTTTAATGGTAAATATCCTCCTAAAACATTTTTGGAGAAGACAATTGTTCAATTTCATATAGTGTCCTTTTCAGATGTTAATGCTATTTAATGAACAAACATCAGTTCTCGTATAATGATATCCTTAAATTTCATGTCCAGACTTCCAGTTTGTACTGAGAAAAAGAAAAAGTCATTGACAATGTGCTCACTTGGGCCTTTAGTCCTAGTGAGATGAAAATAAGACTATTTGTAACGGTACATGTACTTGTTATATCCAAAATACTAACTTCATTGAAATTTGCCTAACCTTAGTTTTATGGTACTACAGTAAGCTCTTCCTCAGTTACTGTGAATTCTTTTATTAAAAGGGATTGAGAGTTAATTTGACACTGGAGTTGTAACCACTGCACATTTATGTGTATTCAAATAATATAACAACTTTGTGCTTAATACTTCACAAATATCTCCAGAAATAGGCATTTTAGTTATAATTGCAGAAATACTTTATGAATGACCCCTTCACTATTGCCTTGATCTTACACTTCAACCCTTCAAGAGTTATCACTTTTGAGTGTGAATTTGACCTTCAATATCAGTGATAAATATTTCAAAAACATTTCAAAGAGCTATCCAGCACATAAACCAAATATGGAGTCCTTTGGTAGAATTCAACATATCATTGACCAAAATATGGAAGTAATGTAACCAGTATATGTATAAGAGTTACTAAGACTTCTGCAGAAAAGGCAATTTAGGGGAAAATGTAGTATATATAGATCACACACGACCTTTTTCCAACTTCGACCCCTGTCCAAAGGAAGAGTTAGACCACAAACAAACTTTTTGTCTGGTTGTGACTTTGACCTTTGACATAACAGATCAATATGTCATCAGAGGTTTTCAGAGCAAAGGAAACATGTGTTATTTATCTTGAGATGCCCAAGCAATGCATGGTTTCATAAGATAAGTGTGGCTATTAAACTGAGGCAAAATCATGAAACATCCCCATTTACACAGCTGGCAAATGAAACATAAGCAACAATCAAATTATCAATTTCTTTTATTCATATGCCTATAGTATATCGCACATTGAACAGTGTTCACATGATGGTTCCTGATGCAGTATGCAATTTCATCCTATTCTTCAATACTCATAACAGAGTGTGATAACTGTTCGCTTGACAGTACCTACGGATTATGTTCACCAGTTCAGAGAACTTACTTTCCCTCGATCCTCCTTTTCTTTCTATATTGCCATGGATGAACAGGAACCAGGATGAGGGGATACCAGTTAGACTCTATCTCTGCTGCATTGTGTTAGTAGAATTGTGAACTTTCCATTTGGTGTTTGGGTCCACATTTAAAGACAATAAGTCCCATTTATCATTCCTTTCAAGTGTTTACCATATGGCTCAAGACAAGAATTTCCTGAATGTCCTGGAAGAATTCCACTCCAGCTTGGCATTGGTTGGTCTTCTCACATTAGCCAGACCAGCCTTTGTGTGTCCCAGTACCATTTGGCATACAACTCGGTCGGCCTCCATTGAAATAACAGGACCCTCGTCATCGCTGTCTGCAAATCACCTCTGATATCTGAAGGGGTGCAGCCTCTGTTTAGGACTCCCTTGTCTCGTCCTTCCAGACTGTCAACCTGGAGTACTCATCCAGGGATCTCAAGCAGGACTTCAGTTTCTGCAGCATTATGTAAAAAGATTTTAGCAATCAAAAAGATGGGTTGCCACATGTACTTACAGATAGAAGGCAGCAAAATCACTTAAGTTGTCATATGTGAGTCTTGTTATATGCTAAACATTTAAGATAATCACATCTCAAATCTCAACCAGACAAACCAGTGACTAATGTTATGAACTCGGTCCAGACAAACCGATGATAACTATTATGGACAATATCCCACATCACTGTGGTATGATTACATGCGATCAATGAGCCTACTCAATCACTACCTTATCTATTAATTAGGCTTGGAATGCTGGGAATCTTTTTAAGAGATGTCATTTAGTGATTGTTTCAACTCATCAACATGGAAAAATATATATTTACAATCCTTGTCATATAGCCAAACTATTGCTGGATGCAGTGTTAAATAAATGAGTTGGCTTTAACACTGCTTTGAACAGTATTCCAGATATATCACCGCATGTTAGCTTGATGTGGGAAGAAAGCCCTAAGTGATGCAGGTCTTTGATGAATCCAACGAGCATGTGTATAATGCTGACAAACCTAGCAACATAATCGGGGAGAACCAGGATTTGAACCCATGACTATAGGTTTCTGCTAAGCCCAAGAGATGCAACTCTGCACAGAAAATTGTAGTGCCTTAGATAATAGGACATCCGTGCCCACAGCGATAAGGAACAAACTGAAGACATATTTGCAAAATAACCATATGAACCAAACAGAATAATTTCAAAATATTTACCACTCACTTTTGCTCTTCTATGGTCTTTCTTTGCATTGATGCTGCACAGATGACTGTCTCTTATATTCATCCGGACATTCTACAAACATAAGTAGCATTCACATCACAGAAAAATGTCCAAACTGTACATGTTGTACATTTGATTCAAATGAAAAGACCCCGGTTGTGATTCCGACTTAGAACTACCCTAATCATAATAATTCATGTCAAACATTCAGAGATGACATTTATCCCCATATTTAACAAATGTCAAAACAATATTTTGACAACAAAGTCAGGGTCATTCAACACATACATTACATAGGAAATAACTTGTTCGAGGTGAATATCATTCCATGAATTATTGCCAAATTTTCTTGAAATGCAGATTAATGCAATGCAGTATTTACTTTTATTTCTAGGCTATTTGTTTGGCTTTTCCATGGCACTGTTTTGACAGAGATCTAACCTTGATATGACACTTTGTTCAGAAATGATATAAATAAGAGAATACTTTATTATTCCCGAGAAAATTTGGGTTACATTGTAAAAGCATGGAGAAACAAGCATAAGATTCATGATTTAAGTTAAATACACTCGACCCGTGAAGATTCCGGGGTAGAAAGGTCTTCAGCAACCCATGCTTGTCGTAAAAGGCGACTAACGGGATCGAGTGGTCAGGCTCGCTGACTTGGTTGATGCATGTCATTGATCTCAATTCCGTGGCTCGATGCTCATGATATCAATCACTGGGTTGTCTGGTCCAGACTCGATTATTTACAGACCGCCGTCATATAGCTGGAATATTGCTGAGTGCAGCGTTAAACAACAAACCAACCTAAATACACTCATACATACACACACAAACACAACATCCAAACACGAGGGTTAGAAATTGGCACTAGTCATTTTGACATTTTAAAGGTTTTGCTATATGCTATCATTTTAGGACTAGTGGACTGAAAGTGTTAGTTTCTACCGCTGCAAACACTAATCAACTAATGAATTGGGTGGTCAGACTAGGTTGTCATCATACTCTGAGGGCATGGATCTTTGCTGATAATAACAATCACTAGATTGCCTGGTCCATGATCAATTATTTACAGGCTGCCATCACAGAGCTGGACTATTGTGAGTGTGATGTTTCACATTGCATTGAAATATACCATGATGAATACATGTTGTTTGTATTTATCACAAACAAAAATACTCACTCAATACTTTGTATCCCCCCTGAGGATGTCTGTGAACCTCCCCACAAACCCTGAACATGCTGAAACAGAAAACAACTAACTTGTCTTTATCCTTTCAATGTTTCAGTGTGAATTTGTTAAAGATTGATAAGCTGTCATTATTCATTGTAATCCATATCTCACTTTCAGGTGGTTCAGGTGGCAACACATTATTGGAATTGAATGCCACATTTTGTTTGACATGCACTTTGCCAGATTTATACCCTTGGTAACTCACCCTCATCATCAAATCCCAGCGTTATGTTGAGAATAAGGACACGACCCTTAAAGTCCTGCACCTGTAGCTCTTATGCAAGCCCAAATAGAAATACCATGTCACAACAAACACTTGATCATAATAATAACAAAAGGTTTCCGAAAACAACAAAACTAAAAGGCCCTTGACGTTTACAGTAGTAACATGGAGATCAGGAAAATATCTAAATCAATCCATTTCATAAGATCTATGTATAGAAATCATGGAACATTATGTCTCGAAGCCCTGCTACGTACCTGGCATCCGCAAGCTGCTCAGTGCTCTTCCTTCGGCTGTCAATCGAGTTTTCGAAATACTTGACGTCATCGTTGTGAATGGCTCAGATGGATTTAGACCGGGATTTCCGTGTTAGAGGTGATTGAGAACAATGTATCGATACACGAGGTAGGCATATCGCAATCAAGCATCACGGTGTACATCGATTACACGAGGTTTGAGTGTTTGTTTACATTTGTGTTCCAAAATGGCGCCTACGGCCATACAGGGAATTATGGGTAGACTTGCTTGTCCCGGAATAACACGAGTTGGTCACGAATGACGAGCGGTCATTTCTGAAGCAGTTACGGAAAGAGACGAGGTTGGCCGATTACAGTTCATACAGGCCATATTGGGAGCCGCGGGGATTTCGACAGTGTGTATTAGGAAGTATACCTACGTCGTGTATGGAATATGTGTTTGCCTACCATGCCTAGATAAGGCAGTGTGACAAGGGATATCCCAGCGGACGGAATATCCCTACAGCAGAAATGTTTCACAACCTCGTCAAAATTGGCGATTGCAGCTGATGTAATACAGGGAGCTGAAGACGTGACATATTCAGACAGAGACTATATTACATATAGACTGTTACATGGTCTCTGATTCAGGTAAGGAATATGTGAATAATATGGATCACGTATTAAAGTTATTTATCATCTGTAAGCCACTTATTCAGTTTTATATATGTTAGTAAATGTGTGATTTTATTTTTGTATGATAAGCAATCTACCTAACTTATGTTAATCCTTGCTAATGTATATGATGTAGAAATATGTTTGCCTACTTATATTCCTTTAACTAGATACTCTAATGTGACTCATTTTCTTAGTTCATATCGTACCATCAAAGCAATCTGTGGTACTCACCAATCTGTGAGAATGGTTAATAGACTAAACTTACTTTTGCAGGTGTCAAGAATCAAGAACAAATTAAATGACAGAAGTTTTGCAACAGTGAACATAGTGAAGTGAAGTGGAAGATAAGACATTTGAAAGGTATACCATGATGACAACTTTATCATGTTGGGAATTTTGGCGGTGGGGTAGCCTAGTGGTTGAAGTGCTGAAGACCAAGGTTCCATTCTTGTCATGGTACCATGCATGGTACAATGTGTGAAGTTCATGTCAGGTGTCCCCCGCCGTGATATTGCTGGAATATTGCTAAAAGCAGCGTAAAACCATACTCACTCACTCACTCAGATTAGCTCAATGTCAAGCTGAAACTGGACTACAGGTATACTATAGGTATACTATTTATTTCATATTTATGTTAGTAAGTAGGAAATGAATAGTAATTTTATAGAAATTTCATATATATCTCCCCTTTCTGCCAACAACATCACAACATCTCCAGATAACAGACAACGACAATTAGTAGCCCTTTTTGCCAAAACAATGTGCTGTTTCCGCCTCACCCATAAGAGATAACTTAATAGATCGGGTGATCAGGCTCGGTGACCTGGTTCATGGCATCTGACAGTGACCATCTGACAGCGTGGATTGTTGTTCACAATATCAATCACTGGATTGTCTAGAATCTTGGGCCTACCTTTAGAATACAGTACCACAAACTTTTCGAACAGGTCACAATACCCTCTGATGTAATTTGTAGTATTTTGTTGCCTGACACACTGGCAAAATAATGCTTTGTGATGTCAGGGGTCATTGGGTGTACATATATATGCTCTTTTCAGTGGTCTATCGTCTCCACACGCTATGTTTTTGCATAAGCCCAGCAATGTTGACAGTTTTAATTATTTGTTTACTAAATATTGCCTGCGGCTGCGCATTTTATATCAAGTGCTTGTTTATGAAAGCACCTTTGTTTTCTATATGTTTTTTTATTTCATTTTTTACTTATTCCAGTGGTTAAATTGATTATATATTGAAACTTATAATGTGCAATAAGCGGGTTATAGCTAAAACGTCACCCATTGGCAAAACCCTTGCCGAAAGCGAAAACAGCGATTATTACTTGGCGAAAATGGCACCTTATTTTTTTTTTACCTTGGTAAAATAAATGAAATTAAACTTGGATTGATAACTTGCAAAGACCAATAATTGTGAAATGTTAAAACAAGTTTACATTAGAAATTACCCTCTACTCCAACGTATCCTATACGCGACTCAATTTATTGTGATAACATGCTTTGAAGTAAAATATATGGAATTAAACACACATCGTCTCATACAAACACAAATAGTTGTGAAACGTTAAAACAAGTTTACCTTAGAAATTAGCTCCCTACTCCAATTTACTCGCCGACTCTGATTGGCAGACGCAGCTAACTTATTGTGAATATATTATAAGCTTTGAAGTTTAAAGTACTCAATGTCAAGCTGAAACTGTATTTAAAAATCCTAACATGGTGCTGTCAGATCACAATTATTCACAGTGGCCTTTCGATGTATCATTTGAACATGTTGAAAGGTTTTACAAGAGATTTTTGTCAGTAATAACTGATGCTATTTCTGCCCTAACATGACAACAAATAAATCAACCAATATGGAACTATTTTATTGATATGTGGCAACAAACATACTTCAGGCTGTAAATTTTACAAATGGGTCAATATCTATGTCATCTTGTTTCTCCTAATGTCTGTGCAGGTGCTCGCTACAATTTTGGAACTTCTTTACAGCTACAAACAGAAAATACCAGAACAGTTTACTACTACAAATCAAATACTGTATGGGTTTCACTGAAAGTGTTGCCACAACTGAAAATCTTCAAATACCTATATTTGGCTATAAATTTGACTATGGTTTCTGTCAAATTATCTATTCCTGCCTCAGGTAAGGATGCAGTGATTTATTTAAGTGCACACATGTATCACAGATATACTCCTGAAGTCTATGAAAGTTATTTACAAGTGATACACATAAGGACTTAAAGGAGGAAATGTATTGATGTCAACTTCTTTATTATGAGGATCACAAAATTTCTGAGTATATACTTACTCCTTCATTAGGTTAATATTCACGATTCTGCTCCAATTGCTTAGATCAATGCCCACATTGTCAATCACTGGGTCGTCTCGTACAGACTCGATTATTTACAGATCACTGTCATATGGCTGGAATATTGCTGAGTGTGGCGTTAAACAACAAACACAACATGTTTCTACTACCTGCCGTTGTGGATACCATTTTGAGAATCCTACACATTACATCTTTTCATGTCATCAACTATTGCCATCTTCTCAATAATATGTACTACTACATGTGTTTTCAACATATTTATTTCAAAATGTAATGGATTTGCAAACAATCTGATTGCCTATATATATGCTTATCAAATACACAAAAAAGTATTAATTACAATAAAGTTCAATACTATCAGTTAAGCAATAATGTAGTTATTAAATTGTAAGTTGATAATTCAAGTATGAAACCATATTGATTAAATCTAACAGATTCTGACAAAAATGCATGTATCGATGAATTCTTTCAATGTTTTTCCAGTACATAATTTTCAACATTACCATATTAAGCCATTTTCATGTGTATAATAATACATATTATTTCTAATAATCGCGTAATTTGGACACACAAATATAAAGCAACCCAATACTTGCCGTAACAGGCGACTATGCTTGTCTAAAGAGTTGACTAATGGGATAGGGTGGCGGTCAGGCTTGGTGACTTGGTTGAAGCATGTCATTGATCCCAATTGTGTGGGTCGATGCTCATGATGTCAATCACTGGACTGTCTGGTCAAGACTCGATTATTTACATATAGCCGGAATATTGCTGAGTGCGGCATAAAACAACAAACCAAACCAAATCATAAAAAGCGCCATAAGTCGGGATGGGTCATTTGAGATTAGCAAGTTTTATGTGAACTTAAATCATTACAACCTGATCTGAGTCTTGAAAAGATATGACTTTGATTCAGTGAAAATTTGCATCATGATAGTTTCAACTGTAGGCACAGTTAATCTAAACAGTTAATCTGATTTTTGTACAGTTTCTGTTTATTAATTGTTAAATGTCTTTGTGTTCAAATAAGCTTTGCCTCTTCACCAACCCTATTCCTCTTTTGGAATAAATAGTGTCTAATTCAAATACCATCACTACTAATCATCCTAGTGAACAAAACAAAGAAATGCACATCAAAACTGTCATTATTATATATCAGATATCTCATGAGGTAGAAAAAAAACTGTTATCCAGCAAGATACATATCCTTGGTCCCCAGAAGCATGTTACATAGTAGACTGACTTGATAGGTTGAATAGCAGTCAGCATGGTTGTAAATGCACAACTGACTAAGCTTACTTACTTACTTACTTTGGAGATTTAACGTGCGCTTTCCGACTGATGCGTATTTCGCACACGGACTGACTAAGCCGTCACTACTCAATTAAGTAATTAAGAGACAATTGCAAGTGCTAATACCCACCCGACACTAATTGCCCTGTTAATCCCTAGCCCACAATGAGTTGACATTGAGTTCATTTTGCTAATTAGCTTTTTTTAGAGTAGCAAGGTAATAAACATCAAAGGTGGGCCAGGCAGTTTGTACTCCAAGCGAGCAACACCTCTCCAAGCCTCCAGAGCCTCCTCAAGCCCACGCACAGCACCGCTGATAGCAAGCCCAGGGAGAACTTCAAAGGTAATTATATAACCACTCACCCATCCATTCACAACAACCTACACCTCCTAATCAACGCTCACACCCAAGCCCAAACC